CCGGCAGCGCCGGCGAGGGACGGCGCGGAGGCGGGAGCACGGGCCGGGCGGAGGCGCGGCCGGGCGGATCGGGCCCGCCGTGGCCCAGAGAGGGCCGGATATGGGCTCTGCGGGCCCGGCGGCGATGTGGGCGTGGGGGCGCCACGTGGCGGCTCCGGAGTGGCTGGGGCGCGGCGGCGGACGCGTCCGGCTCCGCCTGGACGTGTCTGGCGGCGAAGAGGGAGCGGGGCTAGGATTTTGGACCCAGATTCATCCGCGAAAAAATGGAGGAGAGGACCTATTTATAGATTCTGGGAGCTAGGAGACTCCAAATGAGTTGCGGTTTTCGCCCACACGATCGTGATCGAACGACCGAGAGCAATGGAGGGGGTTTGGATGGACTCATGGGCTGTTGTGAAGAGGGGCTGGGCTGCAAAGAGAGAGGGGTTTCGGGCTACGCGGTTAACCGTTGGAGTATCAAACGGACTCCAAATGGCACAAAACTTGACAGGCGGTGTACCGGTGCTATACCAAGGTCACTTGGCAAGACTCGGTCCATTTCAAGAACGTTTAACACCTGCTCACAACAAGAGACAAAAGGGGGACGCCGGAGGACATAGGAGTGTCGGATCGCAAAACGGACAACGGGGAAAATGCTCAGATGCATGAGACGAACACGTATGCAAAATAAAATGCACATGATGACATGGCAAAATGCAACACGCAAGCAAATGACATGGCAACAACGACGAATAACTGACGGACACCTGGCGCATCGAATCCGGGGCGTTACAATATATTTCTCCGTTCCTAACTATAAGTCTTTTTAGAGATTAACTATGGATACATACGGATCAAAATGAGTGAATCTACACATATCTTCAACCGGTTTGGATGGCGGTCATGTAATAGGATAGACGATTAGTTTACCTATCTTTGTTACGTTAGTCGGTTGTGGCCTCTTGGCTTTCTGTTTTTGGCGTTGTGGCTCTTTATAAGCTTGCCGTTAATTTGTTTTCAGACTGTAAGACATTTTTGAACCTCTTTGTTTATCTAATAAGATGGCCGTGTGCATCGTTCTGATGCAGAGGCTGAGGAGTCCCCCTTTTTGAAAAAAAAAGATATTTCTCCGTTCCTAAATATAAGTCTTTTTAGAGATTACACTATGGATACATACGGATCAAAATGAGTGAATCTACACTCTAAAATGTGTCTATATACATCCGTATGTAGTTTTTAGTGGAATCTCTAAAAAGATTTATATTTAGGAACGGAGGGAGTAGTAATACCGAAACAATGATATTTCCTTACTGTGCAAGAGCCAAAACCCTTCTATAACTTCGAGGAAAGCGAGTGAACGATATTAACAAACACGAGGAAAGGTCCCTCCAAATTGCACTCTCTTTTTTTAAGAAGAAATTGCTTACTTCATTTGTTTATGGAAGTTCAGAATTTTTGCTGATACAACGCTCAAAATACAGCCCAGGGGGACATGAAACCATAATTTGCATAATTCAGTATGTACTCCATCTTTCCTTAGCTAGGGGGTGTGCCGCCTCGTTGGCCGAGCGCCGCGCCAATCTTGTCTAGACTTCAACATTCCTTTGATCTCTTCAATGAAGGTCCAATGGCTGACAAATTCTTTTCGGTGTCATTGATAGTACTAACCACCCCTTTGCTATAGAAAAAAAGCTTGACAGTCCGCTGATGTACATCCATCTCCATCGCGAGTTGCACAACACTGAAAAAGCATAGAGATAGTACTCTACAAAAAAAAGGCAAGAAAGTAGACAATTATTTAGAAGATATAGTATATGTTACTAAAGACTTAAAGCTTTTTTAAGGAACCACAAGGGTTTCCCCCGTCTATATTTTTATACTCCCAACTAAAGCTGATATGAATCGAAGGGAGTATTAATTTCTAGTTAAACAAACAAAGAAAATTGAAAGTACATAACTTCACTAGGTGTTTTATAATTAGTATTGCTAAATCTCAATTGACTAGACTTGATTATGTCTCAGTCGATGTCATATTCGTTCGATCTTGCATGGAGATCCATGCAAAAAGAAAATTTAGCTTTTTCTTTTTACTAAAACTTGGTTAAATTTCAGGCAACCGAGACCTAGCCACACCCTTTAATAATGTTCAAAGTTATAGAAAGAATGATAAACCCACCAAAAAACCCGTTCCCTCTATTATGGATTGAACAGAATTTGATAGCCCTTGCTGCCACAAAAAGGAAATATAATAATTCAGAAATACTAACGCCCACACGTATGGGCATTTGCATCTCGCCCACAAGCGTGGATCCACGTCCGTTTGTGGTTGCACGAATCTTGACACGTTTATGGTGTCACGTAGGACTGGGCTGGTGTATTGGCATTCATCCGGTCGCCC